AGGGCGCTTTGCTCTCTGCCCGTTTCTTCCCATGGCATACTGGCCAAAATCCAGTTAAACAGAAGATGCTAGGCATTACTCCAGAGTCCTTTTTACCCACTAGAGGGCACGATGGGTTTGTGCTAAAGTTTCCATTCTGCATAATAAAGGGAAATGCCTGGCTATTTCTACTTTAGGAAGATACAGTACTGTATATGAAATACAAAAGGTCTCTCATTTGCCTCTTTTCTGCCCCCCCCCCTAGAATTATTCCGCACTTCAGGATGATGTGGATGAAGTGGATAGCTTTTTCTTGCTCTCCCCTTCACCCCCTCCACAATACTACCCATGAAATAGGTGGGCAAGGCTAAAGATTAGTACATCATCTTCATACAGCAGGTTGGGGTTTTCTTTTTCCTGGTTTTTACCCCACCTATCTAGATTCAATGGGTGGCTTACATTCCAAATATAAAGCAAAATTGAATACAAACAGTTAATTTACGGAATTTATGCAAAAGCAGGCCTCCAGGCGCTGACTGTCTTGTTTGATGTTGCTCTTGCTGATCTTTTATGAAGGTCTGAGAGCCTTTTCTGTTCCAGAGCAGAGTAAAAATGTTCCATTCACCTCTCGATTTCGGTGCCCTCTAAATGTTGGCATTGCTGGGCAAAGTCGCCGAGGCTCCACTGCACTTCCAGTCCTGACCTAGTGGGACGATAGCACTGCAGAAAGGAGACTGACCCTGATCCGCTCCTGTCATCTTCTCCTGCTAGTGCCAGACCAGCGGACTATATGGGAGTCTCTCATCACTGGGGTCTCTCCCATCCCACCTCTCACCTGTTCCTTTCGCTTTCTTCCCCTGCCCTGTTTGGTTCCTCCTCTGCCTATTTCATACCTCTCTCTCAGGAATTTAACCAGAGTGCTGCTGCAGATTCAGGCTGGATTAAGACCTTTGGAAGCCTTAGGCACTGAAAAGATTACGGTGTCCCCTGCAAATCTAACACATGGCTTGGGAAAAAAAACACACATCACACACACATTACGTCCCTGAAAATAGGGTAATCTCATTGTATAGCACATGGCAAAAAAGAACCACGTATTGTATGTAAAATTGTGTACAACCAAATCATCGGCTTCCACTAACAGAAACGGAAAAGTTCAAACAAGAGCTTAAAACCCCTTTCGGGGCGATTTTCACGGTGGCTGTTATTTCTTTGGCTTGCACGTACAGTGCAGAGGCCATTGGTCTAGAAGACCAGCAGCTATTTTTATCCTCCCAAAATACAGAAGTAAAAAAATTAAAACACACATGCACACACATCAAGCAATGCTGATTGATCATTTCACTCAAAATGTTTTCTCACTAGGCGAGCCTTTACAGTATATGTTTTCGTTTTTGCTATTTAATACTCAGCTGCTTTAGGGAGGGGGTGGCTTTCTTGGGGCCCTTGAGGGAGGGAGCAAGCTGAGGGATCTGGAGGGATGTGGTTTGTTAGGAAGGGTGCACTACTTGTACCATGGTCCACAGTAAATCCAGCACTGAAAAAAAACCTCTCTGTGGTGCTCCCTTCCTTTGTTGATGCCCTAAAATGGTAGATCCGGGGCTGTATGGATTTGACAGAAGTGTCATCCAGAACCGGGGGCTGTAGATGGTCCTCCACTGTTTGTTGTTTGCATTTAGATCCTGCTTTTTCCTCCGGTGAGCTCTTAAACTGGCTTTCCTCCGCGCTTTACTTTCACAAAGACCTTGTAAGGTAGGTCAGACTGAGAACATGTGAATGCCACAAGGCCAGTATGTTTCATGGACAAGCAGGTATTTGAATGCAGGTCTTCAAAGTCCTGCTCTAACCCTCTAAATGCCACATGGGTAATAAAAATGGATTGTTTAAGCATGCTTTAATTGTTAACCCTACAAATAATGTAATACATTTGTCTTCAGATCTGCTGAAAACCTGCACTGTGAGGTATTGCGTTCACCTTTCTATGCTCAAGCACAAAATCAGACAGGACTAGCTTTCATTTATTTTTAAGTCTGCCCATCGGCAACCTTATCCCACTTCTCTGGGCCAGCATCCTGCCCTTTCAGGATCTTTTGAAATAGGAGCTTTCTCCATACCAGAATCCTCCCAAGTATGTTGGACTACAACTCCCATAATGCCACAAGCTGGCGAGGGAACATTTGTTTTTAAAATGTGCTTGTACAACAATCTACATTTATTCAAATACAGTCATGTCATCTTGTGTTTGCTGCACAATGGTGGACGGTGGGCTTTCACTTAACTGGGGCTTATTTATGGGGTAGGGCTTATAATCAATAGTTCTTAACCTTGGGTTACTCAGGTGTTTTTGAACTGCAACTCCCAGAAACCCCAGCCAGCACAGCTAGTGGTGAAGGCTTCTGGGAGTTGCAGTCCAAAAACACCTGAGTAACCCAAGGTTAAGAACCACTGGCTTATATTACAAGCAGCCTGCAAAATCATACTAGGGCTTATTTTCAAGTTAGGTCTTATTATATAGTGCTAAATACACATAACACATAACAGGAAAGTATGAGCAATTCTGAGTCAGTGACAAATATGCATGTATTTTGTGGGTACCTTTAAAGAAACAGATTGTGAAGTGGCTTTAAAACGCTTACGATTAGTCTTTCTGTCTTGAAATCCACTAGACTTGGCAGATTCTACCTGGAGTATAGATAAATTTAAGTTAAGGCAACTATATATAGCAAAATGACAAATACATCCTACTTGTTGAAAATATTTGCAATAATCTGAGTTATACTGATTTATAAATCCATCCTATTGATTTTATCTGAATTTATGCCAATTAATGTATGCCTATAGACCAAGCCTGTGTATTTTCAGTCCAACTGATCTGAGAAATTTACTCCCAAGTGGCACGGATTGTAGAGCATGTGGTTCACATATCACAGATTCAAGACAGTAGCAGGGAAAGATTGACAAAAACCTAGTGCAAAGGCTAGGGAACATGTGATCCTCCAGAAATGGTTCAGGTTCAGTTCCCATGGTCCCATGCTACTAGGCATGCTGGCTAGAGCTGATAGGAGTTGGAATTCAACATCTGCAGGACCACGTGTACCCTACTTGTTATAAATAATATTGATCTTGAGAAGGGACTGTGGCCCTCCCAATGTTTTTTTGGATATTTATTTATTTCTAAAATTTCTATACTGCCCAATCAGTGCAAGACACTACTCTGGGCAGTTTACATGGAAAACTCCCACAATTTCTCAGCATAGCTATTCAGCCGATAAGCCCACAACAATACAAAGCTGTTTCCTTAGCAAAGTGCCTATGTGACACCCTCCCCCCATCAATGCTACCCCGTTGCTTTTATACCTGTGCACAGCCCAGTCTCTATATACCTTTAACACACTTCAGCAGCATTTCTGTTGCGTGCAGGATGCACAAGCCTCAGAACAGATGGGCGGTACAGAAATTAAATAAATAAATTGCAAACACCACATTAACCCCTATGCAGGTTTTGCTAGATCCTGAGCAAAATAATTTCAAATACTCTCTTTAAGCTGAAATAAATGCATATATATGTGCATTTATTTCCAGGCTCCATACCCTTCCCTCCTCATCTCTCCTCTGCTAAAGCAGGGTTTGGAATCCCCTCGGGGTCAGAGACCGACTTTCTCCTTTTGCATTTTGGTCCATCCACAGTATAATAAATCAACCATCCTGATGTCTGGACCGCCTTCCCCGCGCCCTGGAGAGGGAGACGCAGCCGATCCGTGTCTGCCACTGAACTTCAGAAGGCGTTCCTTCCCGTGTTCTGGGCTTCTCCCTCCGAGTTCGCAAATCCCCAGACGCAAAATATCCCTCCGTGATTGGGGGCGGGGTGGGGTGGAGAGGAAATAACACACTAATTTCAGAGACAGTTCTACAAGAAATATTTCATATACACAGTATTATGCATCTCCTTTATACTAAAATAGGTTAGCCCATACCTATCAAACTTCAGAGAATACTTCTTATTAAACTAGATATGAAGGGAAGATTCAAGCAGGTAGCTGAAACTACAGATGAGACTGATGATAGAAAGGGGATCTCTTGAACTCAGTTCCCAGTGCAGTTGTCAAATCCAGTCATATCACTGACCTGACTTATTTATTTAATTTATATAATACCCATCCAACCAAAGACCACTCTGGGCGGTTTACAACATAAAACAAAACTGTAAGCAAAACATCTAACCATATCCACTAATCAAACAGCCGATCCGTGTCTGCCACTGAACTTCAGAAGGCGTTCCTTCCCGTGTTCTGGGCTTCTCCCTCCGAGTTCGCAAATCCTCAGATGCAAAATATCCCTCCGTGATTGGGGGCGTGGGTGGGGTGGGGAGAGGAAATAACACACTAATTTCAGAGAACAAACACCCCAAAATCGTACTCGCAGAAGCACCACCAACCAACCCGCCACACCGCTTCTCTTCTAATCATCCTCCGACGCGACTCGCGAGTCAAGGCGCGTCACTGCCCTCCCCAAAGGCCCGCGTTCACACGTCCGAAAGGAGCGGGAGGCAAGAACCGCCACCACCACCACCACCCGGAGCTTCGCGGCGCCGTTTATTTCCCGCCGCCCCGAAAAGGCCAGGAGAGGCCGCGGCGTGTCTCGGGGGTCGCCTCCCACTCTTCCCCGGGGGTTGGGCCTGGACCCGGCCCTCGGAGGAAGGCAGGAAAGGGGGTCGGCCCAGGCCAGCCAGCCAGGCCTCCGAGGCACGGCCGTCGTCGTCGTCGGTGTCTCTTCTCGGGCCTCCTCTTTTCCCCTCACGGGAGCCCGGTTTCCCCTCAGGCGTCGTCGTCGTCGTCGTCCTGAGGAGAAAGCTGAAGGAGTCTCGGGGCCGCCTCATCGTCTTTTTTCTTCCCCCCTCCCCAGGGGCGAAAAGGGCCCACCAAGCTGAGGGAGGCCGGGCGGGAAGAAGAAGAAAAAGAAGCCGAGGCCGGCCTCCCTTCTTTCCTCTCACGCCGGGCTGTCCTTCCCCGCCCTGCAGGCCCAGGCCGCCGGGCCCCGGAGATGAGGCGAGGATGTCGGTGTCAGGGCTGAAGGCCGAGCTCAAGCTGCTCGAGTCCATCTTCGGCAAAGACCACGAGCGCTTCCGCATCGTCTCCTGGAAGCTCGACGAGCTCCACTGCCAGTTCGTGGCGCTCCCTTCGCCTCCGCCGCCGGCCGCCCCTCACAACAGCCACCGCCAGCACCAGCAC